GTAGGGATGACTGGTTAATGCCACAAGAAGGTTTCTAAGTTCAGAGCTCAGTGTATACACTAATAATTTGATTTCTAAACAGTGGAAGCTGCTTGTGGAGACCACCCGTGTTTCCACAGAAAAACTGTCTGCTTGCCTGATTGGTTCTGAAGTGAAGGTTCTCTTAGCTGAGTTTCACCCCTTGGTTTGTTTCCCCTGCCTGAGAAAGCAGACCAAAATGAAATAAATGTGGATGTCAGGGGCAGTTTAAGAAATTGTTATATAGTGTAGCCTCTTCATGATCTTCAGTGGAAACTGAGTTCACTGATTGTGGTCCAATTGTGGCTAAATGGGCACCATCAGTGACTTACCAACTAATGATGCTGTAAACCAAAGACCCTGTTCAGGGCATTTACAGAGCTAACTAATGGTAACCTGTCACTGTATACTGAATTCCACCAAGATCAGTTAAGAATTAAAGATGATTTGCCTACTTAAAAGCTTGTATGCCACCAGTTTGTTTCAAGATGACAGAATGAACCACCATTTGAACCTCGAAGTGTATCTAGGTGTCATTAATATAGAAATCAAGCAATCAACAAGTATTTCTTGAGCACCTACTTTAAGAATAATAATAATTGACATGTATTTATTATTTTAAAGTTTGCAGAATGCACTTATGTATTTTATCCGGGCTCTGTCACCTACAACCTCTATACTTAATCTCTCTAGGCCTCAGTTTCTTCATTTGTAAGAATGATGGTTCTATGATCTCATTTGAGCCTCACATGAACTCTATAATTAGATACTGCAAGTGTTGTTTAACTCTTGATGTTCAGATGAGGAAACCAAGGCTTAGAGGGATTATTAAATGATTTGCCCATGATTATAACTAGGCAGAGGCAGGATTGACCTAAGTCTTCCTAACTCCAAGTCCATCACTTTATTTCACCATGTGCCTATGTGCCCAGCACTGCACCCAGCGGCATCTAGGGATACCCAGTAAGTACTACGCATGATTTCTACTCTCAAAGGAATTATCATTTGGTTGGAGAAGATTAAAACATTTGGTTAGAGAATAATAGAATTTTAAATTCTGTGGTATTGGCCCTCAGTAGAAGGGAGACAGGTCAGAGTATGTTGGTGAAGGTGGAGAGAAGACACAAACTGGCCTTGAAGAATGGATAGATTTTAGATACATGGAAGCAAAGTACCAGACACTACTGGTAGGTGAAAGATGTTTGGGAGAGGAGATGCAGACAGTAGGAGCAAAGGGCACAGAGAGAAGGAATGAGTGTGTGTGTGTGTGTGTGTGTGTGTGTGTGTGTGTGTGTGTTGTATGTGTGCATATTGGGTTGGAAAAGCACCTGACTCTGGCATCCCAGAGTGGTGCTGTAGAAAGAGCAGTCACTATGGAGTTAGAGAACTCAGGGTTCAAATCCTGAATTTAAGAAAATCATTTGAGATCCTTCACCATCCAATCTGGTTCTGAGCAACCTTCCAGTTTTATTTCCCTTTGTTCATTGTCACATGTGCCACACTTCAGCTGCTTCTTGATCTTGTCCTTCATGTTTCCCTCCTCTTTGCATTTGAATAGGCTCCACCATCCCCAGAATGCACTGTCTTCCTTTGTTGAAATCCTTTCTTTAAGGCCCAGCCCAGGTCCATCTTTCCACCATGAAGTCTTTCCTCATCCCTCCAGCTTAGACCAATTTCTCCTTTCCTATATTTTTATAGCTCTTCCTTTAGAACTCTCCTTTGCCTTTATCACATTTTATCTTGTTATCATACTTTTTTTGTGTATATCATATAACCTTTATTCTGCAGGGTGCCTGAAATGTGCAGTTGTAAGCTAAATCTTAAGGTTGCACTAAGACTTTTAGGTTACTCTGTATTCTAAGCAACTTGAAGGGAGGGATAATGTTGTTTTACACATTTGTATCCCCAGTGCCTAGATTAGTAGCTATGTGACCCTGGGTAAGTCACTTAACCCTGTTTGCCTCAGTATCCTCATCTGTAAAATGAGCTGGAGAAGGAAATGGCAAACCACTCCAGTATCTTTGCCAACCCCCCCCCCAAAAAGGACAGATTCCCAGTGCCTAACAATGTAATAGAAAGTTGATTAGAGAGCACCTTAAAGGCTCTCCTACAAGGAGTCCCCAATACATATATCAAAATCTTAAAGGAATTTTTTAAAGACATAACAGATATAACTTTGATGACCTATGATTACTGATGTCCAATGAGACATACAGCAGGTAGACATATATACTTGCCAGAGGTATTGGCTGCTGCCATGGAGCAGGTTCAGGGTTTCCCCATAGATAGTGAGGTCCTTTAGATATTTCTGTTTTCACATGACATTATACTGATTGTACAAAGTCCCAAGAAATTGCAAAGCCTCCTAAAGAGAGCAATGAACAGTCAAAAGTATTTGGCTTAACTATCTCTAAGAACCAAATGGATGAATAGTGCCTATTGTTTTGTATGGATAACCCATAAAGCTTATTATCTCTGTGGACAATGAGCTATGCCCAAAATTGAATATAAACAGGAGTGTGAATTGGCTTTTAGCCAAGAATTTGCAGAGATCTTTTAAGGTCCTCAAGCTTCTCTCCAAAAAAGGGCCTATATTTTTAACACTAATATTCTTCTCATGATGTTGTACACCTGCAGGTCATAATATGTTCCAATTTCTGGAGAGCTGAAGTTGAGGCTCACCCAACGGGCAGTGTCAACAGACTGTGATGAAAGGTACAAGCCACTGCATGTTGAAAATGAAGAGTCATTAAGTGGTATGGGGTAAAGGATGCCATTTATAGAAGTGGATGATGAGAAGAAAGGATGAAAAGGGTACATCATAAGAGGGCATGGAAAGCTCACATGCCCTATTGATAAATCACCTGCCCTCAAGAGAGCTTGAGGAAGAGCCCCATCACTTTGAGTGGACCCTTTGTGGCATATTTATAGGTAAACTTTCCAGGATGGCAAGAACAGGGTAGAGAGTACCCAAATTGATGAGATTACAGGTCTGAAGAACATCCTTATTCTCCTTATAGCATGTAGAGGAAGAAAAAAATATTGCATCCAGCTAAAAATGCATGTATGGTGAAATGTAGAGTAACATATTTGGAGTCAATAGATGGGGTTTCAGCATTGACTCTCACCTCTGTAAGCCTCAGTTTCTTTACCTGCATCTTGGACTAGATGACCCCCAGGGGCCCTTTCAGTTCTAAATCTATGACTCTAAGAACCACAAATCTCCCACTTTTCCAGCTTTAAATCTTAGCATTCCATGAAATGACTTCTTCATTGGACACACAAATAAGAACAATTTAAGTAACAATTTTATTCACAAATAAAAAAAGCATCACACAACTATTTATACAAGAAAACTATAACTTATGGAATTTAAAAAATGTCTCGTATGCAAAAAAAAAAGCAATGATGCAAACTAAATTCATTCAAGCTGACACCCTCAAAGTGGCAATGGATGTTTTCTACTGGCACAGCCCACAGTGCTTGACCTAAACAACATAAACAATAGCAGTTCAAAGTAGAAAAATCTATTTTTAAAAAATATGTACAATTTACATTAAGGGAGGAGGGGAAAATCCTGTGCTTTAATTCAGTAATCTCAATAGACACTTCATTCTTTGAATGAATTTCATACATAAGAATGTTCAGGGGTATACTAGTAAATGTTTAACAACCAGCTCTCCAAAACAAAAAAAGTATGCATGACACACTTTTAAATTTAATCTGCATTGTCAACATTTTCCCCGTCACTTTATTAAGTCTAGACGATCAACAAAACAATAAATCAAGTCCTGAATTGTAGCATTTACTGATTTCTAAGGTGTAAATGCTCACACTGAAAATTTAATAATCAGCTCTTGAGAACTGGTTCAAATTGGCTCCAGCACACCCCCAATGCCATTGAACCAAAATGATCACACTGACTGTAAACTCCACCAGGCTACGTGCTTTAACTCATGAATTATCTGATTTCGTTGCACACATACCCTGAAAGGTCAATCTGTTGACCGCTATGCAACATTCCAAAAATATCTTTAGGAATCTGAAGTGTGTACTGCATTTCTCTAAAATATTAACCAAGCTTAAAAGAGTCAGCAGAACATTATCGTTTGCCTCTCCAGCGGGTGGTAATGAAATGGCCTTGCAACTCTGAGCATTTCTCTACTGATCAGATATGACGTTTTGAGAGCCAAGGCCAAAAATCTCATTCATAATCATTGAGTGTTCTCTTTTAGGCATCTGTCTTTGAAGTTAGTAAGAGTTCTTTATGTGATAAAAAAAAAACTGAGATCACACAAGGGTGATTTAAAAAAAGCAAACCATTCCATTGCTCTTTTGTCATAACAAAAGTAGCAAGGTGTAGGGAGAAAAATACTGGATGGGGAGACAGAAGACCTGGACCCTGCTCTTGCCTATGTCACTAGCTAGCCATGTGACCTTGGGCAAGTTATTTAAAGTCACTGGGCCTCAGTTTCCTCAACTGTATAATGAGGAGGTTGGATCAAGATGATTTCTAAGGTTCTTTCTATCTCTAAATCTCTGAGTAGACGGAAAACAATTGGAATCAATTACATATATGTCTGAGTTACAGTAAATCGTTCAAATTGATGCTCCTTACTATACTTTCTTGGAGAAATTTTCTCTGTTGACCTAAATGCAGTATGACTGACTTGTGGTGAGATACTGGCTACATTTTCAAAAGTATTTTTAAAGAATCTGTGGAAATTGTCCATGAAAGAGGTTTTCCTGAAAATGATTTTCATAAAGGTCAAAGGTGTTTACATGAGTAAAATGAGCTTAGATTTTTGACCCAATGATGAATTTCATAATACCCCCCCCCATCTATCGTTCCTTTAACGCAAAAACCAGGTTTCTTCTTATGGCTGTGCTAATAGCATTCCTGTTAGCTCTTGGTTAGCAAAGTGTCTTGCACAATAATGCATACTGGAGTTTCTTTTTAGTGGGTATAATGTTTTTCTTAATACTGCAATGTACACGATTGCTCTTGTACTTAACTAATAGTAGTGTTAATACTCTAAAAAAAATTCAATTCTGTTTGTCCACATGGTAGACATGGAAGATTATAGACTATGAGAAACCACGTAATTTCCTTTTTCAGCTGGAAGGAAGTGAGGTAATAAGATGGGAGAAAAAACAAGACAAGCTAACAAAGATGTACCTCAACCACACACTGACCGGAGAGAGGCAAGGCTATATGGAAGAGGACAAATTATGTTTTCCACTGTTATCAAACCACAATGTACAAAAATAAGCGGGCAAAATCCACTTGAAAAGCTGGACTTAAACAAGACTGGGGGAAAAAATGAACATTAGCTTTAAACCTTAAGTACATAAATGGACTGGAAAAAAAAGACAATGCTGATGAGATAAAAATCAAAGTTTGAAAAGTGCAAATGTGGCCAAGAGTTAACAAGAGGAATTGGTTAAAAGACACAGGAAAAACCTGATTGTGTTGGCTCTAGCAGTAAGAAGGGGAGCCCTTTTTAAACTTTTCCTCAGCCACAGGAAAAGGGAATAGACTGCCCAAACGTACCAGGCACATCTCTTTTTTCACCCCACCAGGGTTATTTTTTCTTCTTTCTAGCAAATCACTTCAGGGTATCCAGTGCACAAATCCAGAGGTGATAGGGGATGGAGTGAGTGCTTTTATGATTCTCCTATGCTCCTACAGGCAGTTAGTAATTCTGATGGGGGCAGGGAGAGGCTTCGGTACCATAACATAGTGGCACTAGTTAAGGACCCCCTTCTAATGTAACTACATACTACCAGCCTCAAATACTCTTCTGGTTTTGATGTACTGTGGAGTTTTGTCAAAGGCTACTAACAAATTCTACACTCTAATGGTGGATGAATCTGCTATGTTACAGCTTATTAAGCCTTCCATACAAAAGGCACTACTTTAATAAAAGCTCTTTATCCTAGAAATACTGGTTAACTATGATGTAGACATTTCTGAGCATTGGAAGCTCAACCTTGGAAACAGATGTAACAATAAAAAGCTTCCTCATCAATACATACATTTGCGCATTGTCCGTTGTACATAAAGATGATCCACTGCTGGTAATGTGTGTGCATTGTTACTTTTTTTTGGCAGTAATGGTGCTAGATGACACTGAGCCATCCACTCTCTTGTGCACTCTCCATTATGACCAAGAGCATACATCTGTCAGATTCCTGGTTACCACTGGGGATGCAGTCTGTGTATAGTTCTTCTTTATATGAGAAGCTAACCAGCCTGGGTAGAGATTACCCCAAACCTCTGGCCTCATTAATACTCTAATCACCTGGGCTCAGGAGCCTAAACTATCAAAAAAGGGCCTTTGAACAAGCAGAAGAACTTACTTTTGAGTTCCTTCTACATCAAAACCAAACAATCTAAGCTGATGTCTAGTATGATGCCATTTACTCCATTTGTTTTTGAAAACAAAACGTGAACTCCACAAATGCCCCATCTCTTCAGTCTCATGCAGCTGTTTGGTGGAGGAATACAGGTCCTAACTCAATTCTGCTTCCAGTTACATGGATATAATCTCTTTATCTTCAAGCTCAATCCTTTAGTCCTTTCAGTCACACATGTAGCATGGAAACTGCTTATTTGGAAGAGATGCAAAGTATCATGAATCTGCCTTTAGTCTTTTCTCGAGTTATGCCCTGGGGTTTCAGCTCCCAGCTGGTCTGGCTCAGGCACAATTGGCTGAAAGACTTGAAACGTAGCCAGTTCAATTCAGCTTTCTCAAAAACCATCCAAGGTCCAGATGGGGTTCGGTTCCCCAGTATTAGCAGAGTGGCATTAGGGTTATGTACACTTCCATTCCTGGTAGAAAAGAGTCCTTTAGGCTTCCTGAAACCACGACAGAAGGGGGAAAAAAAAGTTTGTTAAATGCACACTAAAGGAAACACAGACTTAGGAAGAGCAATTTCATTTTCAAATATCCCTTTTTGCTAACGTTCTGTGCTGGTGTCATACTATATGAACAAAAGGACCATTGCTAGTTCTCTGAGGTTGGATGATAGAGCTTCAAACACTGAAGCTGTTCCCATAGAAGTCTGGGAATGAAGTGAACATTTTCAGAGCTCCTGAAGCACATCTAATATTTGCAAACTCTAACTATTACTTCATACACAGTGAGAGACGGGTGTGGATTTTCTCTCCCCCTCCAAACAAACGACATGAGCAGTATTCCATAAACTCATAGACTCTAGTCTAATTGTCTGGTCAAGGTGAGAGAAACATTAATAATAATAATAATGATATTTATGCAGCGCTTTAAGATTTGCAAAGTGCTTTACAAATATCTAATTTTATCTTCACAACAACACTGGGAAGGAGGTGCCATTATTATCCCCATTTTAAAGCTGAGGATGCTGAAGTAGGCAGAGATGAAGAGACTTGTCTACTGTCATCTGAGGCAGAATTTGCCCTCGGGACTCCCTGATTTGAGGTCTAGTGCTCTAACCTAGACTCCTTAACCCACTTCTATTATGCCACCTCGTTGCTAACATTGCAAATAGGGGGTATCATTCCCGTATGGTAGACCCTTAAAGTATAAATAGGTTGTATTGGAAGGAAGGAGGGTTATACATTGCTTATTCTCCATAGAAATAGAAAGGAGTCCATATGCAATGCCTTTGATTGAATTGCTGGAAGATACTGTCATCAATTAAGCAACAGGAGAAAGTTTGCAGATAGCTGGGGGAGAGGGAGCATGAAACCTTTTTTTTCCCAAATGTCTCATGGGAATGTGCACAATCAGCCTCTGACAGATCTTCCTAGCCGGAAGGAACCTCTGACCCCCTGAGGGCAGTTTGAGGAATTGGACTTGAGGCGGAAAGAAAGCATTATGTTTGGCCCTCTCAAAATAGGACATTGACTCCCGGAAATCACAAAGCAAGGGTACTTTAGGCCAAAAGGAAGAACATGCAAAAAAATATAATAAGCTGAATTAAATATAGTAAAACCACATTAGTTCAGATACTGCTAATGTAGAATGTAGGATGATTCAGACAAGACCTAGGCTGAAAATGACCTTTTCTACAATCTATAAAGAGATCTGCTGAGCAAAATATTACTGTAAACAAGAATGAAAGGGAAATAGAAATTGGTGTTTTCAAAGTACTGGTGGTTATCCTGAAATAGTTTTTCTTAAGTAGTTAAAGTTATTGACAGGGTAATTATAAGCCAGTTTTATCTGCTTATTAAGGTAAATCCTTAGAGGTATAAACTAGCAACACTGGTAGATTAAGTTACCATGTGGACATGAATTAATAAAAATAATAGTGAGCATTTATATAAGGCTATAAGGTTGGCAACTGTCTTTAAAAGTATCATTTCACTGTGTCCCCACAAGAACCCTAGGGAGTAGGTGCTATAGTTATGCCCATTTTACAGATGAGGAAACTGAGAGTAAGAAGAGAAAGTAATTTGCCCAGAGTTACACAACTAGTAAGTGTCTGAGGCAGGATTTGAATTTAGGCCTTCCTGACTCTAGGTCCAGGGCTCTATCCACTCCACCAAAATACTGGGAGGAAAAGGTGAAATACTTTCTATAATTCTGATTTTTAATTCATATGAATTAATAAACTTGATAACCAAGTCAACAACCCTGATTTTCTCTGAAATTAGCCCAGATCAGTGAGATTTTACATCATTAATATTTTCAAAAGATCTACTTTCATTGGTGGGAGTGGGGAGCACTCCATGCACTGACACAGATGGTGACCCCTCCACACTTTATCAGATGATTTGCTAGGGCCAAAAGATGAATCCCCTGATGGTGATGAGCCTCTGGGCACTCAGCTGGCCTGCTCCTGAGGGGGCCAATCTGCTAGCAGATCTCTTCCACCCAAGGCCTTTTCTGTTTGGTAAGACTTGCCAAGGCTTGTACTCTCTCCGCCAATGGCCTTTCAGATCTCAGGGTCACCTTTCACTCCAGGATGAGGCCCTGGAGAAAGAGCTTAGAGAAGGAAATTTACTCTGCAATCAAATTCAGCCTCCCGTAATTTGGATTTTAAAGAACTTAACCTGGGCTTGACTCAAGTACACTAATATAAAGAGAAAATAATTTGCTAAATATATTAACCACAGTAAGCAAGATTCCAAGGGATATGCCAAGCCCGTTTAAGGGAAAGATATTTAAGAACTTTATTATATTGTTTGACTGCTAATGGGTTCTATTTTTTAAAAATTAATTTATTTTTAGTTTTCAACATTCACTTCCACATGATTTTGAAGTTTTAATTTTCTCACCCTCCCCAAGACAGTGTGCAGTCTGATACAGGCTCTACACATACATTCATATTAAATATATTTTTAATGGCTACCATTAAATTCAAATGAAGTGTGGGTTTTTCTGGTCATTAAGGCAAACTCATTATGTTTGCCATAATCCCATTGCCATAGATTAGTGATGTTTGACCTGACCATATTCTTTATTGGTTTCTTCAAAAGCAAATGTATGATTTTCTAAGGCCTCTGAATCAAACTGAAAAAAAAATGCAAAAAATGCAGCTCTTCCTTATTGTGCCCTCTATTGGTACCTTCCTTCCTATTAGCCATCCATGCATCTCCTCAATCATTCAACAAGCATTTACTAGTCAATCAACAAATATTAAGAAGAAGTTTCTATTTGTAAGGCACTACATAAGTAAACCTTAAGGGAATAGATGGGCCTGGAACAATATCGAGAAGATCAACAGACTAAGACCTTCTTGGAGAACAAATATTCTGGCAGAGCTTTCTTTACCAGGTAACATGCTGCAGTAGGATTGAATGCCAAACTTTGGATTGGTAAGACCTGGGTTGGAATTACACAGTCACTTAAAAACTCTCTGTGACTCAGTTCCCTCATCTATAAAATGAAGGAATTGGACAAGATGACTTGAGGCCTCTTCTAGTTTTCAGTCTATGATCTTAAAATATTTACAAATTATATGTAAAAGGCTTTTCATTAATAATACATATTACCTGACTCTAACATAATATTTATACACAAGATACAATGTTATCATTATAATCACGTCTGTTAGTATTGCAAGTTTTGTCTTCTTGTACTAATTCCTGGAAGCAGCTAGCACAGAGAACTAGATCTGGAAACAGGAAGACGTAAGTTCAAATCCGGCCCAGTGACCCTGGGCAAGCCACTTAACCTCTGTCTGCCTCAATTTCCTCAAATGTAAAATGGGGATAATAACAGCAAGCATCTACCTCAAAGAACTATTGTGAGGATGAAATAAGATACTATTTGTAAAGTGATTAGCATGGTGGCTGGCACATAGTAGACATTTAATAAATGCTTTTTTCCTTCCTTCCTTCCTTCCTTCCTTCCTTCCTTCCTTCCTTCCTTCCTCTCAGGTTTTGATAATTTTCTTATTTGAGTAGGGGTAAATTAAAACAAAAAACACTGCCCCATTAATTGCACAGTCTAAGGGTAATTTTATAAATTCAAACCTTAACGGGGGGCAGCTAGGTGGTGCAGGGAATAGAGCACCAGCCCTGGAGTCAGGAGTACCTGAGTTCAAATGTGACCTCAGACACATGATACTCACCAGCTGTGTGACCCTGGGCAAGTCACTTAACCCTGACTGCCTTGCAAAAAAAAAACACAAAGAAATACCCTTAACAATCGCAAAGCCATGACAACAATTCTTTCATACCACCACCAGGAAAATAACATGAAAGAAAAATAAGACAAGAAGCTCAAAGAGGTAGGACTTTTCACTGAAATATTTCTTTCCTGGAACTCTTATAGAATTAAGTTGAGGTTAGAACATGGAGAATCCCCACAAATATTACATCAAAATATTTGACAAAAGGCCACAAAATAGTTGATAACTAATAATTTCATATACTGTCAATACACTAGATTAAAAAAAAAAAGCTCTGCTTAAGAGTTCTGTTGGTAGCATATACTTGTTCCTAATTATTCCGTCTCTCCCACAACAATAGTTGACAGCAAGGGGAATAACCAAAACCTGTCAATGGAAGAATCACAGACTGATAGAACTTAGTGCTGGAAGGGACTTTAGAAAACATCTAAGTGAAACCCTTTATCGGATAGGTGAAGGAACAGAGGCCCAATGACTTGCTTAATGCCAAACAATCGATTGGTTAAAAAGAAATCACTAATGGAGATTCAATATATTTTAATATACTTTAAATAGCTGAAAATTCAGTCCATGGAAATTGATAGAGATACAAATAGAACTGTAGCATTTAGAGAGGTAGGGGATGTTAAAGACCTTCTGTCTATCCCAGTCTTCTCATTTTATAAAGGAAGAAATTGAGGCTAATGACTTGCCCAAGGTCATACAGATAGTAAACAAAATAGCCAGAATTCAAACATAGGTATTTTGATTTTAAGTCCTCCTGATATTCCAATATAGTATATTTATTATTCAAATTTAATTTTCAGGGTATCATGATTCAGTATAAAAAGCCTGAGAAAATAGTTCTTCAGCCTAACTAACATATGCCACCAGGGGTCCTATTTTCTCTCTAAAAAATGTGTGTTAGATAGGATGCTGACCGCCCTTTTTGATCATTATGCGCTACCCGTCATCACTAGCTGGATTCTCTCAAAGCACACATTTGGTGAATACAGGGAAGTCATTATATGAACAGGCTCAAGTAGCCACTGGGCGTAACTCAGAGAAGGTAGGATGAACTCACTTTCTGGCCCCACTCCCTTCTCTGCTTCCCAGCTGGGGAAAGGGCACATATGTTCTCTTCTGCCATGTGTTGACCATTCAAAGACAAAAGTCCATACTCTTTCCCACCCAGAAAAGGAACACACACACACACACACACACACACACACACACACACACACACACGTTATTCTAATTCATAAACTATTTTCATTCAGCAAACATTTGTTAAATGCCTTAAAAATTAAAGGCTTTAGATCAAGAAGAGGTGTTAAGGGATCATCTAGATCGGTTTACTTTTCAATATTTGTGCAGGGCCCAAAGGGCTTTAACTATAGTTATGTCATTGGAGTCTCCCCCAAACCCCCACGAAGTATGTCATGGAACTGTTATCTCCATTTTATAGCAAGGAAACTAAGGCCCAGAGAGTTAAAGTGACTTGCCCAAGGCCACAGAGCTGCTCACAAGAGGAGCTGGGACTCAATCTCAAGCCTTCTGGACTCTAGTCCCAAAGTGCTCTGTCCCCATTCTACCTCAAAATACTGGATAACACATTAGCCTCTTAGTACAACCAGAACCCTATCTATGACCAGTACAGGATTTTCTAGTTCAAAACAGAATTTTAGCAATGAAGGGCTGATCACTGAGGTTATGGAATATGTTATGAATTTTTGTAAACAGGAATTTAATATATTCAGAACCCTTCCAGAAGCCAATTCCCATTATTCCTTTTATTTTATTTTATTTTATTTTTTTTGTGAAGCAACTGAGGTTAAGTGACTTGCCCAGAGTCACACAGCTAGTGAGTGTTATATGTCTGAGGCTGGATTTAAACTCAGGTCCTCTTGGCTCCAGGGCCGGTGCTCTATCCACTGCACCGCTTAGCTGCTTTTAAAAACCGAAATAGAATATTAAATTTCTCATCAAGTGTACTCTAAGATCTGGGTAAACCCCATTTCCCAATTACCAACCCAGAACCAGTGTTTTCATTTCAAGGTCGATCTATGACATGCAGATGCTAAGTAAACACTGACATTAATCATCTTTTCTTACCTGGAGGGAAGGTTGGGGGACCATATTCATGGTATCCTCATTCTGTTGCTCCAGTTGGTTTCTAAAAGATAAAGTCTCCTGAGTTAGTGATGGGTCTGTTGGTATGTTTTGTTGAGACCATTCAGTAGTTTCTGCCAAGTTTTCAGAATGAGATTGAAGTGGAGTCACTGTACCAACCAGGTCCTGGCTACTGTTTGAATCCAAAGTGGCTGAGTTTTCGGCTTCCAGGTTGAGTGAATTTCTCTCTCCTCCATTCAGTTCCAAGTAAGATTCAGAGAAAGAGAGTGTGTCACTGCAAATGGGATTCTGCATGAGTGGCCAGGCATCTGAGAGCTCACCGCAGGTAGAGTGGGAAATGGAACCAAAGAATGTTGGAAGCATTTCCCCCACTGAACTTGCATTCCTGAGAGGGCAACAAAGCAAAAGTAAAATTAAATTTAAAAAAGAGTATCGGTAAAAGCTGAAGGGAGAAAACTTATAAAAGACTGATGTCTGGAGACATTAAAACAATGATTACCAAACTCTTAGAAGGTCTCTGAATCGCAATGTTATACTTCCTGCTATCCTAATTTACTTACCTCACTAATTTAAGCTAAAATAGTTCATTTGCTTTTAAATGGATCAGTCACCTGATCAGTGGAGAAACAAACATCTTTGAAATGCCTATTATGTGCAAGAGCCTGTGCTAGGACCTGAGGATACAAAGACAAAAGTGAAAAAGTCCCTGCCTTCAAGGTGCTTACATTCTATTGCATATCTATAAGACTACCCAAACCAGACAGTCAACTGAAAAATCCATCTCCAATAAAATCATATTTGTACTTGATTCAAAGTCTTGCATAGGGATTAAGTATATTCAGTTGGTAGAAATAATAAAAATACAGCAGAAACAGTACAAGTGGAGGGTAAACTAGAAAGAAGGCTGGATTGTAAAGCAGCTATAAGTGAATTTGCCTAATTTGGGGGCGTTTCACAGAAAGGTAATCAGAAGACATGACTTCTCTTCTTAAATTCAGCATTTGGAGACAGAGAGGTCTATTTTGGCATTGGTAAGTCAATCAATTCATTGCTTGTCCTTTGAGACGTGAAATGTCATGAATGTCTAAACTTACCTTTCGTGAAGGGTGCTCCTGGAGTGGAGAGCACAGCCCCGAGTGCCATGATCCATGCTACAGGTCTCATCACAGCACAAGGAAGGAATCAAGTGGACTGGCCCTATGAAGAATACAAGGGTTTTTAAAATGGGGTTATGACTAATGTAGAAATATGTTTAATATGATTGTACATGTATAGCCTATATCAGATTGCTTGCCATCTTGAGGAGAGGGGGAGGGAAGGGAGAAAAGAATTAGGAACTCAAAATCTTATAAAAGTATATGTTGAAAACTCAAATAAATAAAATTTTAAAATGAAATAAAATAAAATAGGGTCACAAGATTCCTTCACGTAACTCCCATTGCAACATCACTCAGTTCAACAATTCAACATGCATTTCTTAGGGCACTGGGGTTACAATAGCAAAACCCACATAGTCTCTGCCCTCAGGAAGTATGAAGGGGATTCACCACGTACACAAGAAAGTAAATACAAAGGATATACAGCATAATACAATTTCAAGGAGAGAGGGCTAATAATTGAGAGCATCAAGAAAGGAAGCAATGGATCGTATGTGGTAGAAGATTAGAAGGGAGTGCATTCCAGATATGGGAACCCCGTATATAAAGACATTATCACAAGAGATGAACTGTCATGTGTGGAAAATAACCTTGCTCTTCTTAAAAATTTGGTTTTATTTCTTCCAGATTTTTTCCTCCTCCCCACCGTCATTTCGAAATGTAAGTGCATCCTTGTGTCTAGGTGGCAGCCAAATTCGACTCCTCTCCACTCACAAGATGCCACCTCTTATTTCCCAGCCTTTGCACAGGCTGGCTACCATGTTTGAAATGTGCTTCCCTTGCCTTTGTTTCTTAGAACTCCTGGCTCCCTTGCAGGAATTGTTTAAGGGCCACTCAGTTTCCCAGATTTTTCCTGATTCTCTTGCAATTAATTGAACATGCATTTCCCCAATGAAACATAAATCCCTTGAGGGTTGGGACTGTCTTGCCTTTGCATTGGTATCCGCAACACCTAGCACAAAGCTTGATACATAGCAGGCCCTTAATAAATGCTTCTTGGTTTACTGACTTATTTGGTTCTTACAGTAATTTTTGTCTTCTTTAAAATAACTTGAATCATTGAGAATCAAATGCAAACTTGTGCACCCTACTAAGGTTGCCACTCACCAGTTCTTCACCTCCTTAGTCCATAAATCAGAGCATTCAGAATAGGCAGCAGTTCTTAAAACTTTTTGGTCCCAGCAGCCCTTTGTACTCTTAAAAATGATTGGGGACCCCTAAAAGAGCTTTTGTTTATGTGAGTTGTAACTATGTTTACTCTACTAGAAATTAAAATATCTTAGTATTGCTATGAAAATAGTTTTGACCTTGGAAACTCCCTTGATAAGAATCTTAGAGATGCTCAAGGGTCTCCAGACTATACTTGGTGAGCCACTGGATAGAATAGGGACTTAACCTGTAATTTCATCATTATAGGGAATTTCCAGGTAAAGAAACTTCCTTTATTAATACATGCTAGTACCTTCTCTTCACTTACAGTCTTGGAGAGTTGCCTAGGATGCTAAAATATCTGACTGCTTAGGGTCTCACAGTGATCATGTATTGAAGGTGGGACTTGAACCCAGGTTTTCCTGATTTTGAGGCCATCTCCCTATCCACCTTGCCTTTCTGCCTCCACCTAGAGTGGTCACCTGCTCATATAATGTAGTGGCACTGATATCATGCCATTCCTGAGTCCACCTGCCACTCATTCACATATTCGGTCATCATATAAAAATGACTGAGCATATGCTCACTGCTATACCAGACACTACAGAGTATACAAAGACAAACAAAATTCCTAGCTTTATATGCAGCATACATTTAATAAACTCATTGTCTTGGACTGAAGATAAATGTATTTAATTTCCATTTGTGAGCAGATGCATTACCTTCTTGCAGGAATAAATTAAAATATTTAGGAAAAGATATTTTCTCACATTTTCAGCTTTATGCATATAATTTTGTTGTACACAAGTATATTCTGTAAACTTTGTTCTCTCATGAATTTCAAACAGATCTTTTAATTCTGTGCTTCACATTCTGAATCCTAGATGGGAGCCCATAAGAAGACTTTCTACTTGTTTCTCTGACGGGAGCAAAACTCAGTCTTCTGTAAAAACTCAAGATTTTGGAACCACCAGCCCCTTGGGTGATTCCCTCGTCATGTTAATATGATTTTGGAGAACTATATCTTTTCTCTAGGCTTCTTCTGGTTGTGTCACTTAGTATTACTGATGGTTACCACTGATATGGTGATGAAAACTCTTGGGAGAAAACATTTTTGTGTGGACATTTCTAAAAATCATTTGGTTTCTTCAAAGTTTTCCAGGATGAAGTCTCATGTACACAATTCCTGGGTTCAAGGCCAACAGATCTCACACATCAATTTAACTGTCAACGATTGAACTCTCAGAACTGCTTTATAGGAAAGGCAGGAAACCAACACTTGTCTAAACAGGCAGGGTGTCAGGTTGTTTAAATGAAAGCTCCGTTGACCCCAAGCAATGAAGAGGAACTCGCCCAGACATTCTAGGATTTTAATGAGGTGACAATTTTCTTTTAACACTTAGAATGAGAACCAAACTGTCAGAGAGAAAGGGGGGATAATATGACAATACCATTTTTAACTAGGAGTTAAAGCAGAGCATCTCAATTCCTAGGTATGTGTGCCTGATTCTTTCTGTTCCCACTTCCTTTCAGTTATTCTTATTCCTCTAATATGCTCGTAATGAGGCCTTACTTACCACAAGTCTGTGCTGAATCTTGATGGCATTGACAACAAGTTCTGTGAGGATATTCATTAAGCTGAGGTCTGTCAAAACATGACAGCTCTGACCCATTGTACTGGATATCCTGTGATCTCATAGACCCTGTTGGGAAAGAGGGAAGAAGAAGAATGCATCAAGCTAACTCTTTGTTTTTGCACTTTCCTTTATTAAGCACAAATTAACATGAGAATGTGGAAAATTCCAAACTAACCTTTTCTAGTTTTTTTTAAGATGAGACATCTAGCATTTTCAATTCCTGGTAGGTTTAATCTTAAAATGAGATCATTAAACATGGAAAACCATTCGTCAAAAAATCTACAAAAGTGGTAGGACTCTCAGGTTACAAAGAATTTCAATGTGCATTTTTATCTAGTGGCATTAAGATGTTTCATACTTGTCAACATTTCTATAAAAATGCCATTCATTCTGTACCTCCTCCTTCTCCCTGTCCTCGGGCCTCCCTGAGACTAAAAGACTATAGGGTTTATTTTCATTAATCTCCGATTACTTTAACAGTTCGCTGGTTCTCATTTTAGGCAGGTTTCCTGTCAAGCCCTTTAATGGCCCTGGTGATAATTCACTTCTCCAGTTTCTTACTTAGAAACAGAAATAGTTAGAGACTTACAGCGTGGCTTCTTTTCCATGAACTGCCTCTTACAGTAGATGACACAAAGGATGAGCAGGGCCAACAGAACGGTGGCAAGTGCACTACAGATCACAGCTGCCAGAGCCGTGTCTCTTGGACTGGAAGTGGTGGATGGGATCTTCACAAGGTTTACTTTAGTTGTACCTGAAACAGAGGGGAAAGACTGTCAGTATTAATATTATAACAAGTAGAACAAAGCTGCTGACTCTATGGTGAATAATCATACTGCCGATCCTTGCCATGGTCAGACCACATTTGGAACACTGGGTTCAGTTATGGGTGCCACATTTGAGGAGCTGGAGCACAATCAGATGGAAAGAGACCAAGAATGGCAAATGGCCTCAGGATAATGCCATCTGAGGATTGGTTGAAGGAAATGGAGATGCTTAGCTTGGAGAAGACTTAGGGAAGGGCATAATAATGTGTTGTTGGGAGCCAAAAGATCTCAGTTCTAACCCCAGCTTGTCCTTTGCTAACTATGTGACCTTGAACAAGTCATTTGACTTCTCTAGCCTTTACTTTCTTCATCTATAAAATGGGTATGCTGCATAAGAAAACTCTTTAAGTTCTCTTTAGCTCTGTTCTTATTGTCCTAATTATAGGAAGGGCTACTATGTAGAAGGGCCTTCTCTGAAGTACCTTCTAACTCTGAGAGTATGTGATTCTGAAATTAACCCATTGTAAGCAATGTATGAATAAAAAGGAAGACTACATATTTCCAAGTGTACATCATACACAATAAGGTTAAAAAGGAGCAGAAAAATCCCTACTGTCATAATTTTGCAGGTTATGCTGAGAGAAACACACATTTTAAAACTAGGAAATAATTATTGGATCATTCTTGATTAAATATGGCATCTGAATGACTCAGATATCCTAACTGCTACATTGGTCAGTTACAGGTATGTCTTGACTTGCTAAATTTTGGAAAAAAGACTGTCGTAGCATAGAATGGTCACCATAATAAAACCCAAGTAAGCAACATTATTAAGTAAAAGAAACTGTTTCTAGTTCAGCTAAGGAACGTCTGTATTCCTCCTTTGCCTCTGCCACATTCTATTTTGTATTATATTTATTCCTGGATGTCATTCCTCTGCCTCATTATGAGAATGGATTGTAAGCTCCTAGAGGATTTACAATGTATTTGACACCAAAACTATCCTGAACATAATTTTACATCGCTTGCTGAGTGAACTTTGGCTGAGCATGTGAAGGAAGGAAAGGAGTATTTAAAAGAAGGAAACAAGCACCTACTATGTGCCAGTCACTGTGCTAAATGCTTTACATTATTATCTCATTTAATCCTCACAACAACCCTGGAGGTAGGTGCTACTGTTACCTTCATTTTAGATATGAGGAAACTGAGGCAGAGATTAAATGACTAGCCCAGGATCATACAGCTAGAAATTGTCCAAAGCTAAATTTGAACTCAGGTCTTCCTGACTGTAGATCCAGTGCTCTATTTATTGTACCACCCAGGCACTTCTAGCAACTGTCACAGTCAATACACTGTAGAGGTGTTTAACAGAGAATTCCTAAGAATTCTGTAACATGGAATTTGCTGTCACTTTCAATTCCTTAGATACTCTTCCATTCATCTGCAATGATCAAATCATAGATTTTTTTAAAAGGCTCTGAAGAGATCACTTTCTTTAATGCTTTATAAATTCATCTACTTCAATTTCCTCATTTTCCACCAATATTAATTAATGATGGAAATATATTAGGCTTCTTCACCTTTGAAATGTATTTAAACCAAGAAATTAAATCTGTTATTTAAGCTGGGCAAATGCTCTGTTTTTCTCACCCCCATTATGCAGAGAATCTCAAAATGTTATAGCTACAAAGAAGACTTAGTCCAGCCCTTTCATTTACAGAAGAGGAACCAAGGAGTTAGATGATTTTGCCGGTGAGTTGTTTTACTTGTATCTGACTCTTTGTGAACCCATTTGGGGTTTTCTTAGCAAAAATACTAGAGTGATTTGCCATTTCCTTCTCAAGTTCATTTTACAGATGAGGAAACTGAGGTAAACAAGGTTAAGCCAGGGTCACACAGCTAGAAAATGTCTGAGGCTACACTTGAGCTCAGGTGTCCTGATTGCAAGCCCAACACTTTATCCACTGTGCCACCTAAAGTCATATCAAGCTAGTAGAAGAGCTTATACTAGGGCCCAGTCCTCTTGATTCTTGGCCTAGTATTCTACATAACATTGGGCTAATTCTACAGATGAAACACAAGAGACAAGGCTGTTTCATTAGTTTAAACCTGATAAGATCAATAAATCAACAAGCATCTACTTGCACCTACAATTAAGCTCCTACTATGTGCCAGGCACTATACTAAAGGCTAGGGGAATACAAATAGAAAGAATGAAAAAACCCTATTCACTTGCAGCTTATATTATCATGGAAGAAACAAGTATCAGAGTAAATCTAGATATTAATAGGGTCTGAACCGGTGATTTCACTGGGGAATGTCATAACCTAATCTGTGACGTATAGTTTTAGTTGCATAGAACTCAGAGATTGTGACTTACCAACCCAGTGTCAGCATATGTCCAAGACAGGACTGGACCTCAACTTTCCCTGGCCCTGAGACCAAGTCTCCATCCACTATACCACAGTGTCCCTGGTATGTAAGTATATACAGAATAAATATAAAGGAAATAAATGCGAAGATAATTTGGGAGGAACAGTACTAGCACTAGGGATTAAGAAAGCCTTCACGAAGAAGGTTGTATTTGAGTTACATCTTGATGAAACAAAGAGATTCTGTGACTCAAAAGTGAGAAGCAAGTTTATTCTAGGCATGGGAAATGGCCAATGCAAAGCTCTAGAGTTGGGAGCTGGAGTGTCATATATGAAGTAAACAAAGAAAATATGGGAGACGGTTACGTGGCTGGATGGTAGAATATGGTAGAAGGGTAATGTACAGTGACAATGAAAAGACAGGTTGGGGCCAGGTTGTGAAGGGTTTTTAAGACCAAACAGAAGAGTTTACATTTTATCCTGGAGGATTTAGGGAGCAACTGATGGCAATGGAGTAGGGAAGTCACACGGCCAGATACAAATCTTAAGGAAAAATGCTTTGGCCTCAGTGTGAGGGATGGACTGGGGGAGGGAGTAGTTTGGGGCAGGGAGACCCATTGGAAGGCTGTTGCAATAGTCCTGGTGAGAGATGATAGGGCTAAAAGAAGGCAGTAGCTGTGAAAAGAGAGAAGGTGTCATATTAGAAATGCTGTAGAGGTAGGAACAGCGAGATTTGGTGTTTAGATATGTGGCATTAAGGACAGTGGGGATCAAGATCAAGAAAAATGCCTATTAGACTGGAAGGATGGCTTCATCTTCGAGCAAAGTAGGAACATTTGGAAGAGGGAAAGGTTTGGGGCAGGGGAACAGATAGTAAGTTATGTTTTGGACATACATACTGAGCAATTGATAATGTGAGACTGAAGCTCAAAGGAAGGGATTGGGGCTAGATACACAGATTTGTAAGTTATATAAATAGAGATGAAAATTAAGCCCACAGAAGCCAATGAGGTAACAAAGAGCCTGAGGAACTTGACATTTTAGAACCTGAATGCTCATTTCCCAAGATCTGATGTCTCTTACTGTGGTAGAAAGGAATTGTATTGACAATAATTCCTAGAATAATCTGGACAAATCTGGCTTGGGTATCCAGTAACACTGCTAACAAGTATTTTAAACAACATTTATTTGCAAGTTTGCTGGGTATTTACAAGAGCATTTTATCACTTAAAACCCTGTGGAGATAACATCATCAATAAAAAATCTTATTAAAACGCTTATCTTTGTATGGTGTAAATTAAGCAGGCGTTGTCCTTGACCTCTCAGAGATAGAAATCTATGATGGCTTACGTCAATGTGGACAAATGAATAAAAAGATATGTAGACATTGTGGCTGCTGCACAAACATGGAAAAAAGAAATAACCAAAATTTACATACAATTAAAGCAAATTATGTTATGGGGTTGAAAGTGAATGGGGAAATGTCCAAACGAAGGGGCAGCTGGGTGGCTCAGTGGATAGAGCACTGGCCCTGGATTCAGGAGGATCCTGAGTTCAAATCCGGCCTCAGACACATAATACTTATTAGCTGTGTGACTCTGGGCAAGTCACTTAACCCCATTGCCTAGCCAAACATAAAAAAAGAAAAAAAAGAAATGTCCAAATGACACAAATGGTGCTGGTAGAGTTCACCCAACTCTCATTTCTGTTGAATGAAAGTAAATTCTACTCCAAATTAACTACCTTTAACTAGCTATCTTACCCAAGAAAATATAACATCTTAGAAATAGCTGGTTTGGGGGAATATAACGGGACATTTTTGATATTGTTAGTTGCCAAACTCAAAGACAGCAATTATGTCCTATCAATTAGTTATCAAATATTTATTAAGCGCCAACAATGTGCCAGGTACTCTGCTGGGCACTGGAGATACAAATACAAAAATGAGATCGTCTCTGACCGCAAGGAGCTTATATTCCATAGGGGTAGACACAGTATTAACTCTCACGTTAAGATCACTGATCGTCTGTAACAAATTCAGTAAGATTGAAATTAAGTGAAACACAATGGGGAATGGGAATGTTCTAATTGAATTTTCATCTTGAATATTATTAATTATGGAATGTTAGTGCCAAAAGGGACCTCAGATATCTAATTCCTTCATATAACAGATGAGAAAAGAGGCAGCGAGGTGATGCAGTGGATAGAATGCTGGGCCTGGAGTCAGGAAGACCTGAGTTCAAATCCAGCTTGAGGCACTCACTAGCTTGGGCAAGTCACTTAACTTCTGTTTGCCTTGAATAATTCATTGGAGAAGGAAATGGCAAACCACTCCAGTATCTTTGGAAGAAAATCCCATATGGGGTCACAAAGAGCTGTACACAACTGAATGACTGAAAAACAACAGATGAAAAAACTGAGACCTTAGAGAGGTTGTAATTGGCTCAGGGTCCTGGCTAGCTAGCAGTGTTAATTCAAAGGTTACCAGAAAACCCTTTTTTATTTCAACCCTTGTTGGAAATCTAACATTTATAAATCAAACATTTATTGGCTTACTTTCTTTCTCAAGTAAAATTTAATAGATATAATTTGATGCATCTTTCATGATAATTTAT